CGGCTTTGGGTTATTGCGGAAGAACTCAGGCCGTGGTTTTGTTAAATTGTTTGTGATTTGAAAGTATAAGCGTTATCTAGTTTTATTGAGTTCCCGTTACGAGTAAAGAAGACATACCTACGGTTAAAATCACCACTCGCCAAATCTAAACGCCTCTATTCGACTAAGCCGATCGTAGGTTACGGATCGATTAGCGACAGACTCGCCGTTTTACAGTTGTCAATAGATTCAAGTTCCGATTATGACAATCACGGAACCAACACTTTTTTTCGGCCCGACTAAATCGCATCCCTAAATCTACTAAAAATCAATTCAGATTCAGAATTTTAATTATTAATAATATTTTTGAGGGACGTTCTCAAGTGCCTCAATTAATGAGTCAATGAATGTTGAAAATATGTCGGGAATTAAGCTTTAAGTAACGAAAAATATATTAATCGATTAATCGAGCTTATCATTAAGATAATTTATTACGCGAAAGTAAAATTTTAAATTATAAAAAATGATCAGTGAATTTGCTACCATATCTCAGTCAAAAAACTTTTTGTCCCAAACCACCTTTTTTTTTGCGCTAACTTATCAAAAATTCATAAAAATAAAGGGAATAAGGTATTTATTATGAAGTTTCATTATCGACACAATTTTGGTAAATTTCCGATAATATATGAAATCGCATCTAAGTTGAAGCTTGAAAACACCCTTTATATATAATATTGTTTATTTAATTAACCTTAATAATAATTATATACCCATAAGTAATAAAAATATAAATATAATAAATTTAAATAATTGACTATCCTATTTTACAATAATATTCTTTTTAACCAAAATAAAATTATAACCAACTTAAAACCGACAATACCGACAATTCATGTTATTCATAATAGCGAAATAAAAAGTGAAGAAATATATAGGTGTATGTGCAGAATTATAAATAGGATAAAGTGATTTATGTAGCAAGTGTTGCGTTCAATGATTTCCATGTTCTATCAACCATAAGAGTTTTTCCTTTGATATTTTTCGTCATGAAACCACCAACAACCATGTTACCCATTGGTAAAAGAGATGCGCCTTTATTCTGAGTTTTGAAAAAAATATTAAAATTAGAATAAATGCACTAACAAAAACAAAAAAAAAGTAAGTAATAACAACAAACATAAAGAAAAAAAAAGACAATACCTTGCCAATGGGCACTAACATAGCTTCAGCGCCTGGGCTATATTCAACCAATTTTTTATTATTAATGAGCGCAATAATATTCTTAGTTACGACATCAGCATGAAGACCAGCACGATAGGCAAGTTTTGTTTCTTTAATATTTGTTATGTCCCCGAGAGCAAATATATGTGCATAATTATCATTTTCCAATTGAAGAGTTGGCTTAACTTTTACTAGAGTAGTATATTGCTCGATTAATGATTGATCCAAGGTTTTTATTACTCCAGTGTTTGGCTTCGCACCAAAAGCTACGAATTGTACGTCAGACTCAATTTGTGTACCCTATAAAAAAATAAGAGAATTTGAGTTTGGTAAAAATATTATCAGCTATATAGATATATAATAAAAAAATAATTATATGTTTACCTTATCAGTTTCCAATGTTATGGAAGACAAACCGTCATCAATACCAGAAGAAGGAAAAATAACTTTTTCTCCAAAAATAAGCTTTACATTTAACTCTCTCAATTGTTTAGCAAGAAGGTCAGTCATTTTCCTTGGAAATTTATCCGTAAGCAAATGATTTTCTGAATGAATAAGTGTAACTTCTTTATCTTGATAAACTGATGCAATTTCTCCCGCAAGTTCTATTTTAAGTTAATAAAATAAATAGCCATAATAATAATAATTAATAACAATAGTGACGATGTAATATTTAAAAACATTAACTTATTAATAACAATATATCATACCAATGCCCACAGGACCTCCACCAATAATCAAAATTTTCCTCGCATTTTTTACAGCTTCTCTTTGAGCAATTATTTCTGCAATACCCTCTTCTTTATTATCTGCCATCATCTTTGCAGGTTTAGAATGATTAGATCCAGTAGCAATTATCAAATATTTAAATGGTATTTGAGTTCCCAATTCAGTTTCGGTATCAACAATAACCTCATTTTTATTAATTGTAGTAACTGTAGCATGTACAATTTTTCCTCCATGCTTAAAAAGATTATCATAAGGAATAATGACTTTATTCTCAAATCCATCTTCAACAACTGTACGAAGACCACCAATTGCATGATAGAAATGAGTTTTACGTTCAATAAGAATAATTTGATGAGTTTTATGAAGGGACGATTCGAGTTTTGTGGCTACGGCTATTCCGCCATATCCTCCACCAACAATTACAATATTTGGTTTTGTTGTCATTTTTTTTGATACTAAAAATTTTTTTGAAAGAAAATATATAAATAATTTGTATATTTTAAACACTTGTGGATTCTTAATTTTGAAGGAAGCATGAGGTTTTTACGACTGCTTAAATATACCATAGCATGTCTTCGCATCGACCATCCGAACTAGTTCTGACAAATCATTAATTTGTCAGCAGAGAACATACGTAATTAGTAATTTTACTTCGGAAATTTAATTTTTTGGCTCGGAAGTAATATTCTAGAAGCGTTGTTACAATAAACATCACATACGGCCAGCTTTACGAGCTTATTATCCGTGGTTAAAAATTCTGCCGAAAGATATGCATATATCGGTACGTATTATCAATATCAATATGAAACAAATCCTACTAATTAAAGTGCAGTCTAATATTGTGCGAGTGTGATGGGTAGTACAATATTATTCGGTATATTTATTTACCTTGTTTACAGTACGCATTTTATAACAAACTATTTTTGAGCATTGATTATAAATGCTGATTACAAATGCTATTGTAACTTTGACGAAATATTCCGAGTTTGATAGTATTCAAAATTTAAAACAATAATTAGTATGAACAAAATAAAATAGGATAAATATGTGATACTAATTGTTCACGATCTTTACGCTTACCTAAATAATTAATGTGGACGAAATGAATGAGTAGTAAATATTTATTAATTGAAATATTATACAGTCAAACCTCTCTATAATCACACACTTGGGATACAAAATAGTATGATTTTAAAGAATTGTGACAATTATAGAGGTCAAATTCAT